AAAATGGTATAGGACTTTTCACCTCAGTTTTATTCCTTCTACCTGTCTACGAGAGATGTTAAACCAATTCTGGGACACCCTGTATGTGCGACATTTTGCAAAATAAAACGCCGAAAAAATCTAACAAAAAAAATAAATTTTATTCAATTGAATTTCTCAAAAAAAAATTTTACTGAAGAAATCTATTAAACAGTTCCAAAACACATAATTTAAAATCTCACAAATTATACAAGAAAATTAATAGTTACTAAAACATTTAATGTGATGATATTGTTTACAAAATAATAGATGTCGCTCCAGAAATAAAACAGACTCCCCGGTACTTCGAGAAACTATCTTCGGTAGACTATCGACGAAAACTCAATTCAACTTCCAGCAATCAAGTATTATTCAATAATTGGAATGTCACTCGTCTCTCACGTCATTCTGTCACCACAATAAGTCTGATAGTGCGATTTTGTGAATGAATCGAGCAAATCCGAAAGAATAACAAACGCAATTGTACGGCGCGCGTACTCGCTGAACGAGTATCTTATCCAGCCTTCCTCGAGTATACCCCCGACGATATCAGACGGACCTAATACGAGCAACGAACGAACGGGCTTCCCCAGGCCAGGTATACACAGAACACCTTCGCGTCGTCGGTCGCCCTGAGGGCGTCCGGGTAGACGTAGGCGTGGTTATTTCTTCAGCGACACCCATGTGGACACCATAATGGCCTCCGCAACGCCAATCGCCGTCGCGAACTTCGTGCCCGACTGGTGGGGAGAAGCGCGACGTGCCAATCGCATACGCTCCCGGTACTAGTTATGGGCGTGGCCTTGAGTGGCGCCACCGCGGCGACTTTCGGAAACGGCGAGCCGGGCTCCGGGGAGAGGCTTCATTATGTATCATTATACCGGTCCGCGCCGCGCGGTGTGCACTGCTGTTACTGGGAACCAGGCGCGCGTGTGTGCTTTTCTCTCTTCTTCTACGCCCTGGTCGTCATCTTCTTCTTCCCTTACCTTCTTCATCCAGCCGGTGCGTTCGCGTATACGTCGAGCGTGCACGATACGCTCATCGGCCAAGTAATCGTGACACGGCGCGTGTAAAAAGCACACCGTTTGCCAAGGAGGTGCGCGGGCGTGCGCGTAATTCGCGTTTAGTACGACGTGCAATTAAATCGGTAACAAGCGCGAGTGTTGATACACAAAGCGGTGACAGATTATTGGTCCCGGTCTCAAGCGCAGAACATAACGAGGATTTAATTTCGACCACTAACAACGCAATAGCCATCTATCGCACGGACGATTGCAGACTGTCGGTGCGGTGATATCATCCAGATGACGTTCGCCTGTCTGTGAATCAAAACTGTGTTTTGAAGTGATCACTTAGTGACGTTTTTCACGACTGGTGTATGTTGTAATAACCGTGAGTGGCGAAAGACCGATATGCCGACGGTCTGGTCACACCGTCGCGGCGCTACTCCATTTGGACGCCGAGCGACAACAAGCTGACGGCAACCGGATAGTAACATCAATTCGGAACTTTTTGCCTTGGGAAAGTACAGTGTTTTTCGCGTAGACTACGTGTGTGAAGTGGACGTGTGACAAGTGGTCTCCGAACTACTAGTCTCAATCATTGATAAACAGCGACCGAGGAATACGTATATGACACAGACTCCAAATAGCCAAAAGTGAAATTTCAAATATTCAAAAATTACAGTGAATTTTTCGAAAAGAACAAAACGCCGTGATAGTGTGAGTTGACGAAAGTAATTAAATGCGAACAATTAATCAAAATTCTGCCTCTTTTATTATAGTGTAGTATAGTACAGTAAAACTGTTATCAAGCTGGGACTAGAATATCCGACGGTAATTGGTTGGTCCTCGCGATCCAATGACGTCGTGTTTATTCTGATTCTTTGTCGACCTAGTCGCACAGGACACGCGTAGTGTGCTCGTCGTAAAGAGGCCCCAAGATTCGGGCCCCATACGGAGGGCGCGCGGCGGCCGCGGCGGCGACGACGTCGTCGGCGAGGATCGTGGGCTGTGGCGGCGGCATTGACGTTGTGTCTAAGGTGGAGCGTCCGGGCAGCACGACGACGCTCAACTTCACGGATCTGGGGAGCCCATTCGGGGCGGGCGACCCCTGTCCGTCGAGTACCCCGACCCCGAATAGCATGTCGGGCGGTGGCGGACCGACCGGCAGCGGTGGCGGCGGCGGCGGTGGTGGCGGCGGTGCCGCCGGTACCGGGGGTGCCGGTTCTGACATGGACCAGCATCTTCATCACGCGGGTCTCGGCTCGGTAACGCCCGGACCGCCCGGAAATGGCGGCGACAGCACGACATCCAGCACGCCGGTCTCACAGAGCGGCAAGTCCGCCTTCATCGAGCTCCAGCACAACAACTTGTACAATCCCGCGAGTCTGCGGAGCGGTTATCCGGGCGGACATAACGTACCTGGTGCGCACCAGTTCTCGCACCAAGTCAGCTCGCTGGCACATCAGGGCTCCGGGCCCGGCAGCGGGAATCAACAGCATGCGGACGCGGGTTTCCCCAGTCCCAGATCCGCGCTAGCCGGATATCCGTTCGCGCCCATGCACCAGCACAACGCTTACGGATATCACCTGGGATCGTACGCCCCCCAGTGCCCCTCGCCGCCCAAGGACGGTGAGTACCCCAACTGTATGTATTCGCACTCTTTTTTATTCCTACTTTTAGAAATAAGTTTAGATAATTTATATAAGTCGCGGTGTCTCTCTGTTCCGTGGATTCGACTGCAAGTGCTCCATGTTGATAGTGAAATCCTGAAGAAACGGTGAAAAAGTAGAGAAATGAAATTTTGTGTTTGTCAGTGAGAATCGCTACAGTGAAAATTTTGATGTGACGTCTGCGCGAGTGCAATTCATGGAACGGAGATATCACCGAAAAGCTCAAGAAGAGAGTTCTCGTATAAAATTGTGTGAGATGAGACGTTCCACAAAAATCTGTAGATACTATGAGAATCTTTTCCATTGATTTACGAACTATAATCGACTGTTATATGTGAACAAAAGAAATTGATCAACCAAATAAAGTTTTATCGCTGTTTCAAATTTTCCAAAGCAAACTTTTTCAAATAAAAAGTAACGCAAATTACAGGCTGATATATTTTCTATAATATTTTTAATATTAAATTTCTCTGACAGTCCTGACAATGATTTCGAATTGTTAACGTCTACTTTATGTTCAACTTTCTCTCTTTCATTGTCAATATATGATGTGAATTATTGCTAATGCAAGTGCCCACTGAAGATGACTAAATACACAGTCGAAACGTTTGGGATCTAATAGAGTTTTAAATAATTTTCTCCCTGCAAATCATCCTGCATCTCTGTTCAGTCACGCCTTCTCTACTATCAAATTTGGTTAAATTTCTCTCTCTTGAGCTTTATAGCTTAGATATAAAAAATAAATAAATATTACGAGATCTGATACGTACTTGAACGATTTAAAATTGCGAACAAAATATCGTGCGACGTAACAGTTGTCAAGTGTATGATCACCTTGACACGAGGCAAAAATAAGACGGCGACAGGCTTTTCCGGTGAGACCATCTCGCGTCGCAGAGAATGCTTTATTATTACGCGACATTATTATATACCTGAGTTTTATTATCGCTCGGCGAACGTCTTCATCCGCGCTACTGAATTTTTGTGCAACAACTAATGTGGAGCGCTAATGTTTTCGTGGCGTAGATACAATCAGATATGCTCTGCTCTACGTTTAAAAAAATGAAACTTGCTCGCGAATTTGCTCGCTCGGTTCGTGTTCTTGACTCTTCCAGCCTAGTTTTATATTGTCGAGTCACTCGCTCGCATCCGGTGTTTTTCACATGCGACACTTTCCGGACAGTTTACGGTACCAAAGAGAAAAAGAGAGAAGACACTATTATAAATCTGTTTCTCTAATTCTTGTCTTTTTGTGCTACTGGATGTTTATTTCAAAAAAAAGTGTAAATTCTAAAAAAGAGTCAGTTTTATTAATATGTTATTTTTAAATTTACTATGATGTATGCTTTGCGCTTATTCTATTTTTTCTTGTTAGACTTAAACTTTTTTACACTGAAGAAGGTCCAAACTTGTGGGACTGAAACGTCTGTATGTTGAATAAAGACTACTTTTTATACACGACCAACTTGTATTTTACTGCTCGTATCGGCCTTTTGACTCATTTGTTTCTAAAAAAGAATTCTAAAACCCAAGCGCAAACGAAAATTATTGCGTACACATAATCCCTATGTGTGTGTGTGTGTGTATTCTGAATACACAAAATACTCTTAACTTTCTCGTTTTTGAATGTGTGTTTTATTTCTCTGGTTTTTCTTCCGAACATCGGTCTATTTATTGATACAAATTTATTTGCAAATAACTCGTAATTTAAATGGGGGGATACACGAAACTAGGGATAAAGATAGAAGACACACAGAAAACGGGAGTAGCAGGTAGTAGTAGCTGGTCGACGCCCTAACTGCGTTACGGCACAATGCCACTAAACGAAATGAGATATACGACTGTGAATTCCCACTCAGAATTCCCCACGAAGATTCCCGCAAAGCGGCTGACAAACGAGACAAAAAGATTCGGAACTAAACAAGAAACGTCACATCGCCGCTCTCCACCGGGATGAGTTTTCGTTCATAGAAATTTCCTTACCGATTACTTTGTTTCTTGTCTCGCGTTTTTACCTTCTCGAATCGCATTAGCACGATGTAATCACTAGTTTTGCCTTGTACGCAAAATCGCGAGTCAGCTAATTACGATCATTATCGGGTTCGCGTCTGGTGCGTCGCGGATCGCGAAATCGCTCAAGGTAAGATGTTACGATAATCGACTTTAGAACTTTTTCATGAATATATTATTATTATAACGCGGAAAAGCTGATTATTTGAGGAGTTTGTGAGTAATCAAGATTTAAGTTTACACACTAATAAAATAATAAGATCAGAGAAGATCGGAGAATAGACACAACGAAATAATCAGTTTAGTTTACGTTGACATTTTCCAAAATATTGTTCTTTTCCATAAAATTTTTGTTTGTGAGTTTTTCACAAATATATCTAGAGCGACTTCTTACAATGGTTCTAAACATACGATGCCTGTATACACATTCGCGTCGCGAAATCGCGTGATCGGAATAACTTATTTTGCACAACGAGAAGTCTGCATGCAGTGACGAGACTTCATGCAGCGACATTCGCGTTGGTTTCTTGGTCGATTCTATTTTCAAATGTAACCGGGCAATTCGACCCCGGAAAATATTCCAAAACCAACAACATTCGGCGAATAACTCATCGCGACGGACATGCGCGCCAAGCAACGAGGAACTCTCTGTTAGCGCGCTTAAGGCAAACGTTCGCATGAGCGACCGAAGCATGCGGCGGCAGCATTCGCTACCCTCCTATTGGCGCCCCATGAATTCGTAACGACCTCCGCGGCATGTGGCAATCCACCCTGCGAGTCCGGCTTTTTCTGCGCAATCCACCGCGGCGACAACCCTCGCGCGATCAACTTTCGTGGCGCTTCTCACGAAAATTGCCGGTGAACTCTCGCGAATGGCGAGGATCGCGAAAAAGGGGTTCGCTACGGAAAAAAATTTCTTTTTTTCCATCTGCAGCGGAAGGAATCCGCGAGCTAACACGCGAGTGCAACGAAATACGCAGCAATTTCTGTTTGTCTAGCTGGAGCGAGCGATTGCACGTCAGAGGGTTGAATTCTCACGCAGTGAGGGTTGTGGTGCGCGCGGAAACTCGTGCGCGTTTCGTCCTTAAATTGCCGGTCATTTTGTTTTCTTCGCAACTTGCGCGTGGATCGGTCTTTGCAAATCGCACAGCAGCGAAATAGCGAAATGCGCACCCTCGACTCGCCCCGCGAGTTGCATTGAAAAAATTTTATCGAAGGGTTGACATAACATTAATATTTTCACGGAAAAAATTTTCTCGGCGTTTTCTCTGACGGAACGGTAAACAGTTCTGCACATGTCCGAGAAGTTTCAATGTGATAAAACTTGTCACATATGCGGTTTGCTCCGAGTTGTATCAGAACGACGTGTACGCGAATGAATACATAATGCCCGATAGTGTAAAGATTACGGTGTAATCACCCCCGGTTTAATTAATCAAATGATATAAATATATTACCATCGCGATCTTCGTCTAATTGCTAACGAACACGCCATTCTTTGTGCATTCCGCTTAGAAGATAAAAGCGCCATTCTGTCACTTGTCACTCAAAACACAAACGGCACAAAGTTGCCTTACGATCATTGCAGAGAACAATTTTGATTATTTGATTAAACTAACAGTGCTCTTTTTAGCAATTTTGTGAAAGAATAAACGTGCAATCAATTTGCAACAACGTTCGTTCTTAAAATCTGATTTTTTTTTCACATTACAATTGCACAAAATTTACATAACCGAAAGAAAAAACATCTGTATGAATGTTAAAAAACTTACTGTGTAGAATATTAAATGAAGATAACAATAACGTTGTTACTGTCAATTGAAAGTATGAAGAATATATTGTTTTTCAAATTACACAATTATTGCGCAGTTTTGAAATATCGCACAAATCTATCTCAAAATGAGTGAAAAAAATCCAATTTATGCATAAAACATATTTCTAAGAGAACACTATTTTTACAATTAATAGAAATTGATAATTTTATGTGTTTTTACAATACTAAATAAAGCTCTACGATAACAATTTCAAAGAGTGAATTCAAAGCGCGTTTAGAGTTGTTCAGTTAATAAAATACTATTATATGATTGAGAGAAACAGCAGAATGTGCACTCCATGAAAGTGATTTGTAACAAAGTCGTCCGCTTTCCACAGCTCGATGCTCGTGGGGTCAATCTCTTGATCGTTGCACCGTCACGCCTGAGATGGGCTTACATAAAATCCTCGATGCTAAGCGCGTACGCGGCATGCAGATACTACCGGTTATCAAACAATCAGCGAGATCTATCATCGAAAACGTCGTCGATGAATTTTTTGCCGCGCATATTACGTTTGTTTGTCACGATTGTAACACGCCCGACGTAAAGTTATTCTCGCTTTGGTTCGACTCGCAATCAAGAGACATAAATTTACAATTACAACGCCGCGTGTCGGTGAAATTACGAGAGCTTCCTTGGAAGTGCGGCTTGTAGGTGTGCGAACCGCACTTTGATGGCAACAATTATCGCAGTTATTCGCGACGTTAAATGACTTCAGACCACAGCGTTAATGAAGCTGTCCGGGGGATTGCACGAGCATGTGCGGTGATGAGCCGCGCAAGTTTAACGAAGGGGTTGTCCGTGCGTAGATATACAAATCTCTGCCGTGTCTGCGACAAGTACACTCGGCGTCTCTCTTGATGTACCCTCTCTCGACCAGTCTTATCGCCGCGACAAATGAACCGGCCATTAACCAGCTCGTCGCCGCATCCGCGTCACGCCCGTTGTCCTTTTTCGGGCGAACGAACGCGGCTGAAGCTGGAATCCAATTAGCAGGGGCTCCTCTTGTATCAGACAGCGGCCCCCACGGTATCTCGCATCAGTCACCTGACCTGACGTCCGACCGCCGCCTGGGCTTAATCCGGAACGGTTGAAAGACAACGCGTACCCCCGACTCCGAATGATGGATTAAGTATTAAATGGTTGTTTTCACAAGGATTAGGTAGGTACACCGACCCGAAGAGCGCGCCGGCTTAACCTTTCCGAAATCTCGACACGGTTCGCTTGAATTTCGGCAGAAGTCGTGTTTTTCCCCCGGGATACACACGCAGATAACATATATAGCTGTCAGATTCTGTGATCTATTCAGTCAAAATTCTTAAAATAACAACAGAGATATTCGAACTTCCAACAATTCACACAAACACATATCAGGTATCTTGCAATAAAACCCGGTTTTGACGACACCGACGTTTATAATTATTGAAACATTTGAAAAAAAAGCAGAATTTTTCTAAAAAGAAAATCTGCAAATCAAACAATCCCAATTCTGTTGGAATAATTGCGAGCCTCTAAGTAGCAACAAGTCTCTGGCGAGGAGACTTTCAAAGGAAATAAATAACTCCGGAAAGCTTTTTCATCGTTCGGTCGCGCGCAATGTGGTAGCCGATGTGGAAATACAAGATGTCCGTTCTACAAGCGACAATGTTAGACAGCTTGTGTTAAGTCCGGCCTAGGGCATAGACGGACACCTTGTAATTTTGAGTTCTTTGGATTGAGAACCGCGCGCCTACCGTGTGATTATCAACGTCGCATTAATCGCTCGGTGGGCTTATTATCATACGTTCAGGTTGGGTTTGATTACGCGACTCTAAAAGAACCTTCAACGGTGCGAGGCGGCTTGAATACGCGCGTGCACCGCCGCAAAGTAGCACTTTGCGGCAGTTTCAGCCGCAGCCGTGTACTTTGCATACGCCTCAGTGTTAACAACCATAACCTATCCTCTCTATTCTATCCACCCCTTTGCGCAGCGTGAGCTCCCGGAGAGAGAAAAGTGCATTCATAAAACAGTGCCTCGCGATCTTTCGATGTGTGTGCGCGCGCGCGCAGGGTTACACTCCGCCCCGGTCGACATCGCGTCGCCTTAACCGGCTGTAATTAACCACGGGAGCTCGTAATCGCGGCTAACGCCTCTATAAAATTTATTGCGCACTATATGTTACGCGTCAAATACCATCGATACGCGCAACAGTGTTAACTGGCTGCACCGCGACAGACAAGTATTGATGAAAAGATTGATCAGCCGAAGTGGATATTTAGCGCGTTTTATGCCAATGATAATAATTTGTTAGTTAGTCTTACTTTTATTTATTTCACAGAGAACTGGTCTTAATTATATCTATTTATTAGTACTTTTTAACGAAGTTATAAAACGAGAAAGACAGGAAGAGAAAGAGAGAAAACGAAAAAGAGGAGAAGTGCTTGTAAAAATGATATGAGAATTATATAATTCTAATTATTACAAATGATAGTTTAAAGGAAATCTTCAAGTATGTATTGATTAAATTAAAAAAAAATTATAAATACATGTCTTGTTAGGAAAAAAATTAGCAATTTAATCTACTCCGTGTCATATTTCCGCGATGTCAGAGTTGAGGACGCCTATACTAATATTAAAGATCGCATACACGCCTGGCATCACCTTGAAATTGCACGGAAAGGGTAAACACGAGGGCAAACACGCGATTGCATCGCCGTATGTCGCGATATAACCTCCTCGCGGAAAGTTTATGGAGAATCATTATTGTCTTTTTCACGCGTGGGATTAAAACGTGCCTGTCCCGTTTGCTTTCGATCGATTCCGATCATGTCGATCCTCTTTCGCTCGTAGTTCGGGATTGACATTCGCGTATAAATCACGAAGAGTCACACGCGCGGGAACTCGGCCCGGCAGCTCGTCGTAAATTACGCTAATTAATAGTCGTGCTAATTGCCACTGGGGGGAGAGGAGCAACAGGGGGCTTCTCGCGCGCTTCGAGCGCCCAACGCGTCGCGTCGCTAATTTAAGGTCTCGGCGTCGATATCTCTGTTTGTTCGTCGTGTCGATCACGCATCGGTGCGATGTCCTTTTTCCCCTAGCGTTGAAAATCGGCTCGACAAAACGCGCTTATCGTCACGGTGTAAAAAGTGTCCGCTGTCTCTCCTCTTTCTCTCCCGGGAAGAACACGCGCGCCTCCCTGATGAAAACACGCAACATCGTAATCGCGATATAGAAATAATGAAATAGATTTCAGGCGAGATAAGCGACGCGGGCGCTGGTGATGCGCGCTTCTATCGAGCTCTACGCTACTTCATTGCATCGCTTTAAGATTGATATATGGTTCCGTAATTAATTACCGCGCCGTTAACACAACGCATATATAGGGCTTTCTCTCTCTCTCTTTCTTTTTTTTCTCTTGGCGTAATGAGGGCACGCATTTTCTGCACTGTGCTAATTATCGCAATACATTGTGTATATGCGAATTGAATAATGCATTTATATTATCAGATAATTACGCGGCAGTTTGTGTCAAAAATATTCCATCTGTGTTTGTGCTATTGTTGTTGCTTCTCTCTTGCTCTTGACTTGAAAAAACAGTTCGTCATTTCCGTTAATTTCGCATCAACGCGATTCTTTGAGTGCTCTTGTAAACGCCTCTCACTTTTTACACGGATTCCCGCGTAAAAGTCTTCCAATCAGAAAAATGATTGATAATTAACCGTGTAATATGATGCTTTATCCTGAAAAAAAAAAATCTTTAAACATAGCAAGTTTCTCTCGCGAGAGATGTTTTTTTTATTTTTTACTGGTGACAAGGTGATTTTCGAGATTTTAATAAAGTTATTAGATATAAGTATTAAGCGTTTTTTAACATTTTTCAATAACTTTTGTTTGTTTTCATTATTTTTAGTATTTTCTTTGAATCGCAATTTTGTGCGACTCGTTACAAAGATTCTGGTTAGGTTTTAGTTCGATTTTATTTTTAGTTCGTACGCGAGCAGTGACGAGGATTCTGAAAGTTGATGTTAGGGTGGTGCATGTTCGCAGACCTCTCGCCATTGGGTGATAAAGGCGGAAGCCTCGTCGACGAGCTCGGCGGCGGCGGTGGCGGTTCCCTGAGGAACGGCAAAGGCAAGAAGATGAGGAAACCGAGAACGATTTACAGCAGCCTGCAATTGCAGCAGCTCAACAGGCGGTTCCAGAGAACGCAGTACCTCGCGCTACCGGAAAGAGCGGAACTCGCGGCCAGCCTCGGACTCACGCAAACACAGGTCAGTTCTATCGACATCAAGACCAGTAGACTAGAGCGCAAGCTTCTCACGGCATAATCGCGCAACGATAAAACTTTTATCTTACGTCAGTGCAAAAGATGATAATTGCAAAACAATGGCGTATTTTAGATAACGCGCGCATTTTTTTTTCGCGGTTACTTAGCTTCTAACACTAAAATAGTATGTACTTTGTGCAGTTAACACTATTTATTATAAAAAATATTTAATTGAAGATAGACTTTAGTTTAACAATATGCTTGAGAAATTTTTTTATATAATTATTATATAAGAGAAGCTTCTTTTTCACATGAAACTCGTTGAATTTCATTGAATTTTGTAGTTTACGTAATATCGTGTTACATGTACTTCTGCCGAATGGTAACACTTACAACATAAATTTCTACGAGCAAACCAAGATTTTCAGTCCAAATATCAGAAAACGTCGGAAGTTGAACTTTGAGTGCACATAATTCGACATAGTGGCAAAACCATGTAGAAATTAATTAGGTTAAAATTTATTTTAATTATTGTTTTATAGTGATGTTTTGGTAGAATTAGTTATTTATTTAACACACACACAGATTCACTGAAATGAAGAAAGAAATAGCAATAAATTGATCAAAACGTTTAAACAAATACTCATTTGTTTTTACATCAACAATAATTTACACAACTATAATCTGTGTAATATTAGCTTGTATTGAACATTTTTTATTATTTTTTCGAGGAATAAATTAATATTTTGAATTTTATCACAACGCGACGATCCTCTTCGCGATGGATCCAATTGCAAAATCGGTCCGTGGTAACAGGAGCTTCGATGAACGGCATCTGTCAGCATTATCGGCACAAATGACTTCACTAAATCACCGATTCGCCACGCCCTGGACATCGGGGATAAAGTTGCCGCCAGTGTCCAGTATATACCGGGCGCGGGAAAGAGAGCGAGGGAGACAAGTTTGTGGACTAACGAGGTAGCCATAAATTTTCTCCCGGCGATCGCGCGAGTTTTACGCGGAGTTTTCCACGCGGCGGGCGGGACTTGGTTGCGCGAAAGACTTTTCGCCAATTATCCGTTACGCGGTCTCCAATTAACGATTTATTAGAAAGATCGCGCTACATTACGGATAAGTTAATTGGATCTGATACCGTCGGTTAGATATAAATTTCTCGAGGGTAACGGGATGATGATACATCGACGATTCAGACTCTCGAACTAATTAAGGCAATTCCGCGAGGAACAATTTTGCATTATTTGAACGCACCTTGCATATGTAACGATTTATTTTAAAAAGCTAGATATTGTCCGTCTCACTATTTCTATCGAGTCGCGTTGTCTGACGAAATTACAAGTTTCTTCATACAAAATTACGCGTTTCATTGACTGATGGAGCAATTTTCGCGGTTGCTCTTTGTGCGTTCCTCACCCTTCGAAGAAGTGTGCACACTCGTCGTGATGCACGCAGTGTGTGCAGCGCGTAATCACGGGATAACTGGCTGTCGTAGCTGGTTGATGTCGTTGCAGGGGGTCTCGGACCGGATAATTTCATTAGTCGAAGCACCGCGGGAGTTGTTCTCCCCCCGTGAGCAAGTGAATCGAACGCGATGCAATCTGATGAGCGGCCGGCGTCAGGTTGTTTACTAAACACCGTCGTTCAAAATCAGCAGCAACTACCGTAGAAAGCGGATAATTAAATCACGTGAGTCCTCAGAAGAATTCATGATTTAGGTGTTTTTGCAGAGTTGTCGAGGTAACGTTTTTTTTTTTTTGTCGAGTAAAACTAAAAATTTCACATGTCAATTTCCGCGTACGAGCACGTTGGAATCTCATCTCAAAAGTAAAATTTTAACTTACGTAAAACACTCGACAAATCGATTGGACGTTACACGCCAAATAATACAACCGACTTTCTTCGCGCGTTTCACGTAGGAAGAGAATGACTTATATTCCTTCGGCAGAGATATAACTGGCATCTTCGCCGCCACGTAACGAAGAATGTTCACCACGCGCGATCGGTGCAGCTCTCTTCAGCAGGCACCGTGCATAATCTGTAATCGCCCAATCAAGGCGTTCGACCAAGCGCCTCTGCCTCTGCACTCTTGGCCCTGCTACCGTCGCGCGCTGGCTTTCTTGTCATCGCCACCAACATGGCGCCTTAGCCTTCAGACTCTTCCATCTTCTCTCCTCTTTCCTCGTCCCCTCCTCTTCGCCGCGTCACGACAGCTTTGTCGTTCCCCCCCGGCGATCTCCCCTTGCATTTCCCCACCGGCTCTCTCCCCCCATTCTCCTCCTCCTCCTTCTCTTCTTCTTCCTCTTTTCCTTTGCTCTGAGGATGAGTAAGAGGGAAAGAACAGCGGGGAGGACAGGGAGAAGAGCGGTGAGGATCGAGGTGAGGCCACGCATCTCTTTTTCTCCGAGGCTTCAATTTGAGGACGTGGTAGCGTTCGTGCCGCCGGTGTACACGAGATACGCAAAGGGGGTTCGGGGAGGGAAACCGAGGGACGGGAAAGAGGGAGAGCAGGGAGTACTTGCACACGCGAAGTACACGGGCACATGCTCTCGCGCGGATGTATACGTAGGGACGTGGGCACCAACACGCCCGTCTGCGTTCCTGCCACGTACCTTGGGCGTGGTGCTTCCTTTTTCTTCCTCCTCGCCGCGACTAACGTGCCCGATCTCTCCTCATTGGCCCCGGGAATGCGAACACGTCGAAGCGAGATTCGAAAGTCGCGGGAGGGAAGCGCGAGTACATGACGTGAATTCGAAATCCGACCGTGCTCCCTGTCCAGCAACGATGAGGCGCGGATTTAGTCGTTGCCTTTTCCAATTTCGAGGGAACAGACGAGTTGATTCGGGCACGACGCGACATGCACGAAATGAATTAAAAAAATCGAACGAGGTCAACGTATATTTATATATATATATATATATGTATGTATTTCGTATTTATACAGACACGTCATTTCGTGATCGAATATTCCCTTACTGAAATTCCGAATGTGAAAATAAATTACACATCGACAAGAGCTGAATCGCGTTCAAGGTCCTCGGGGATCTAACCGCCGTCACGTAGCTGGGATATAGCACGCGATACAGCTTCGCGGAAAAGCATCGCACACAACATCATCGAAAACGCCGCTCATGCAGTAGATGAACGTGCGGGTAACTATTATTCATGCATGAATGCGTCCGCGAACACGAGTAGTCATACACCGTCCGCTACCGTTCGTCGTTGTCTCGATGTTGAAACATCCGTGCGAGAATGCAAGATAAAAAAAAAAAATAAAATAAATTATTTTCATAAATCGACGCAACAAACGTCGGACGAGTCTTCGATTTCGTAAGTCAAAATAAATCCGCGTCATTGCTTCAAAAATTTCACGACGACCGAGATTAGTCGCACAGAAAATTGCGGAACATGTTCAACGAAAACCGCGAATATACGCGAAACAAGAAGTCGAGTTCGAAGAACTACTACGGCGATCGTATCCGTCTCGGGAGAACGAAAGAGAGAAGCAGATTAGCCCAGATCACGTTCTTAAGATCCTATCCGCTCTCTTGACCAGTCCTCCGTATCTTTCTCCCACCCCGGCTAAAATCATTACGCGGTTTTTCTCCCTTTTTCCGGCTACCGTCGAGACTTGCGAAACGCTCCGTCGTCCTCGTCTCTGTGGCAGACGTCGATCCGCCGATAAACCGGGCATGTGTCTCCGTTCTGTATGTATATCTCCACCTTTCCCTCGTCCACCTTTCCCGCGCATTTATCAGCGTCCATTTATCTGCCTATCACTGCGGTCGTTGTGTACACACACACACACATACAACGTGCGCGCTTACACATACACACGCTGACAGCCCCGTAAGCCTTTCGTTCCGTTATCAGACCAGATGTGTTAGATAGCGAGCATAGTTTCTCGCCGGGGAACAATGAATCGGATAATTAATCACGAGAGTATGGTGTATCGGATCATGGGGGTCACCGCCGGCCCCGCAATAAATCGTTGAGTTTATGAAAGTGTTATTTATTGAATAAATGTGGCGGATACGAGATGCTCGGGCAATTTATTCTGCAAGGGAGAGGCTGGCGACGACGCCAGTCTGTACCTCTGATACACTTTTTAGATCTGACTCGTTTTCCTACCAGATTTTCTCAAAACGTGCTACATAGATGAATTAAGTGTCGAAACATAAAAGATTACAGATTGATATTATATTTGTAAAAATTACACTTTTTTTTTTAATGTGCGCTTATTGGTACGGAAAAAAAAGGATTAGAAAATGTGCGTGTAATTTTTAGCAAGCAGAAAAGAATAGCTTTGTGAGAATTTATAAAATTTATCGGTGATCTACTGTAGCGGTTCTTTCGTGTTGTTATTAGAGCAGATACGAGATAGTAGAATCAATTTCTCGGCGGGGAACAATGAGCAGGATAATTGATGACTTTGTCTGTTAGGCTATGTATAAATCATTGAACGAGTTAGCTCGGAGGCCGAAACAATGTGTCACAAGTATATTGTCAGTGAGTTCGAACGGGACGCATTTAGTACGATTCCGCGCGGGAGATTGCGACCCGGCTATAAGTTAATTGGGTTCTTAATTAATTAACTGTTTTAATAAAGTAAGTGTCGACAGCGTAAGTGCGAAATCATTGGATTCGCGTCTGGGAATTTATGCTCGCCGAGAAGAATTGATAAGAGCGCGCGGAACAACTACGTTATTTAATGACTTTTCGAAACTTGGAAAAATCCGACAGAAAATATAACGTACTTCACATCATACCGTGTAAACTTTTTAATCAAGATTTACGAAGTTCGGCGAAAGGCCTGCTGGCTGCGTGTTTGACGCGACGTGAAGTCCGTGAAAACCTGCCGCTTTCGTTGAAGTTAATTAAAATACTTTCCTGTTTGCGCCGCGCACCTGTAAAGTTACTTAGAAAAAGAATGAATATACTGCTTAAATATACTGCTAAAATATTTAAATAGTTGCAAACATACACATG